AGTGGGAGAAGAGCCGTGACATTCCAACCAAAGCCCAAGCGATGGAATTCCACGGGAGCGGAACAAAAATATGACCACTATTTTAATACTTCTTGGAGCATCCCAAAGGATTTTTTGGGGGCTGGCATGAGCAGACAAGATGCTTTTGCTGGTTGGGGCATGGCTTGAGTGACCACTGAAGGGACAGCAGAGGGTTCAGCTCCTTTCCAGCCTCTGCAGCTCTCGGCATTGAGGGAGAAGGGAAGCAAACGAAGGTTAAAAAGCCTCTTTAACTGGTTCTCTTGTCAAATTAGCAGGGCAAGGCGCTGAGGCCGGGGCTAATGAATGGAATAATTGATTAAATATGTCATATTTAGGTTCACACCTTCCCCAAAGGTTTCCAGATGGGGCATAATTATCCCCCAAACCGGCTTCACACGCCAGGGCACGAGGGGAGGAAACGGTGACATGGGGAATTCAGACAGCACAAAATTGCTCCCACAATTAATCCCAGGCACTTAATAAACTCACCAAAGAATAGCTGGGATGGGGAGAGACCCTCTCGGGGCTGGCCCTTGGGAATAGCTTGGGATGATGGAGCAAATGGTCACCTTGGTGTTTATGGGGCAGCAAAGCCGGCGCCGGTTTTGCTCCTTTCCAAACAGGAGTTGGGGATTCTCCCCTCTCCTCTGCTCCCTCATTCATCCCTCCCAGCAGGGACCAAGGGCTGAAGGGGTGGAAATGCAGGGGACAATATTCACTGCTGATTTCCATCAGGGTCCTTTGATTCCTTTGATTTCCAGCCGACAGTCCCCCTGAAAATCAAACCCAGATCTACGTCCTGGAAAATATTTTTAAGTTTTAAAACCAAAATATTTGCTTTATTGAGGGGGGACGAGGCGGGGAGTGGGGGGAGTCGTGGCTTGTTTTAAGGATTTTGTTCCTGTCCCTATGGTTTCATCTCAGCTCAGGGTGGGGATGGAGCAGGGAACAGATCCGGGATGTCACAGTGGCTCTGACCACGGCTGTGCTGTTGGGAAAACGCTGATTTACACCCCTGGCTGGTGATTTGGATGGCACCAGGCTGAGCCATACCCACTGCAGAGAGCCTTTGGGTGCTGGAAACCAGGGAACCCCCCAAGCCCTGGGTGGGAGCTGGGCTTGGCACCCAGCAAGCACATCCAGGCCAGTCACTGGGGCTCCAACCTCTGGGATGAGCCATTTTCTGAGCATCTTTTCACAGCAAACCCCTCCCAAATCCCTCCTGGAGCTGCTGGAGCTCTGCGAAGGTAAAAGGGGGGGAAACATGAACATGAACTTTCTCCTCCTTTGTGTCCCTCTGAAACTGCCCCGTGGAAGTCCCAGACCCTGCTGGGATGTCACTGTCACCTCCTGGCTCGGTGTGTCCTCTGGGCCACCCCTGTGCCTTCAGGTCACGAGTCCCTCATTCCACTGGTCCTGGGTGCTTTTGGGGGTGTCTGACACCATCCAGGGGACGAATCCTGTGTCCCTCTGGGGCAGGACCAGCCCCTGGGACACGAGGTGTCCCATTCATATCTCTGTTATCCTCTGCTGGATCTCCAGCCCCTTCCCAGAGGATGCTCCCCTCATCCTCCTGTTCCCCCCGGGATGGATTTTACCGCTGCCAACGTGCCAAAAAAGCCGGGGGTGGTGCCCGGGGCGCCGCAGCGGAGCCCAGCTCGTGCCGGCACCCCGTCTCCCCGCGTTCCCCCGGGATTATTCCCGGGCTGGAGATAGCGCGGTTGTTCGTTAGTGTGGCAGCGGTGGCGTGTGGGAGGGCAGACGCCAGGCTGTCTGCTCCCACTTTGTTCGGCTTGTTATTAACTTCTCCTTGGGCTGCCATTAACCCAGAATTCCTGTACTTGGCTTCAGGCTTTCCCCGCGCCGCTCTATCTGCAGCGCCTAATTACAGCTGTTGGGATCTCCCTTTATCTCGGCGCATCTCGGAGGTTTGTTACCTGGCATATGCTAAACCTGCCCTCCCCCCCGCCACCACCTCCCCGCCCCACACACCCTTCCCTGCACCCCTTTAATCCCTCCTGCTTTCATCAGCCTCGGTAGACGGGAAGGGAGAAAATCCGGAGTCTCCGTCGCCCGGGTTTCGCTCAGGTGAATCCAGGGAATCCGCATCCCGGCGCCCACCGGCGGGAGCGTCCCCGGGCAGGTGCCGGGCAGCAGCGCCGTGGATCCCGCGTGTCCCGGCGTATTCCCGGCCACCGCGTGGGGCTCGGCGTGTGCCAGCACCTTCCAGCCCCGAGCCCGAGACTTTGAGTTGGCTCCGAGCGTGGCCTTGATTTATTTTTTTAATTTAATACGAGTTGACTCGATGTATTTGCTTTGGCAGCGGGCTCCCCCTCAACCCCCAAACTCTGCTAAAACAGCCCGTCCTGCCCCTGCCCCCGCCGACACAACAGGGGGGCTGGGACCTGACCCGGCTGTGCCCGTGCCCGCATCCCTGGGGGGCACCGGCCCCCGCCCCCGAGCTGGGACCTCCCTCCCCCCCAAAACCAGCCCCCGGAGCTTTGTGCAGCCTGAGGGCCCGTCCCACATCCCCAAGGGAACGTGGAGCAGGTAGTGGCTGTCCCCGTGCCCATCCCAGGTGGGCTCGGGAGTGGGGTGTCCCCTTGGCACAGGACGGGGCTGAGATTGGCGCCAGGAGGAGCAGGAGCAGGAGGAGGAGCAGGAGGAGGAGAAGGAGGATGGTGTCAGCCTCGATGGCCTCGACGCTGGCCTGGGCCATCCCATGCCATGTGTCCCGCTTGGAGACCCCCAAGTGGGGGGACCCTCTCTCCCTCCAGCCCCCAGGTGTGGTGGGATGGGGTGGGTGGGGGTCCCTCCTTGTCATCCCAAATAAAACAGAGCTGTGACCCCTTGCCCCAGGAGGGGATTCGACCCTGAGGGTCCCCCTACCTCTGCCAGAGGGCAAATATTGCCCCCAAGCCCCCATGGGGACACCGTCCTTCCCCCAGCAGCCAGCACAGGGCCCCTCTGCTTCGGGACAGACATTTTGGGGTACTTCTATTTAATGATGGGTATTTATTGCATCCCCCTCGCAGCAGAGGGCACAGAGAGCTGGGAAGGGGGGCTCGGTCCCCCCGATCCAGCCTTGGGAGCCTCCCTGCCCCACGGCAGCCTCTGTGGTGGAGGGGGACGCAGCCCCCAGCCCCAGCATCCCCCTCCCACCCTCAGCTCCGGGGTGAGGAGCCCCAGAGCGAGCGGAGCCACCGGGAGCTCATCCCGGCAAGCCGGCACCCGTCCCGGAGCCGGTGGGAGCTGAGTCACCCGGACAGGGAAAGTGAGGAGCGGGATAAAAGCAGATCAGTGCAGGTTTCCTTTGGTACTCGCCCTCGGTACTGGCCAGGCCGGGCTCCCCGGGGATGCCTCAGCCGGCCCGGGCAGGGCTGGAAACATCTGGATTTCTCCTCGTGCTGCTTCCTTCGCTGCTTCGCCCCCACGCTCGCCTGGGTGGGGTTGGGGGATTTTCCACATCCGTCCCTGGAGTTTGGTGGGCCCCACAGAGATGGCGGGATGGCTTCTCCCTCTGCCCAAATTTAAGGCTCGTGTTGAATTTTGAGTCCGTGTCATCTCTGAGGATGATCCCAGGGACACGGCTGTGCTGGGATGGAGAGACATGGGGACTCCAGCACTAAGGTTGTGCTGGAAATGACCCTTATGGTGCCATGAGGGAAGGTTTGAGGATGTGGGGATGGGGAGAGAAGCCACCAGCTACAACGGGCGAGGGGAAGGGTTGCCCAGGGAGCCTGGGGCAGGACACGGTCCCTGCGTGTCCCGGGGTTACCCAGGAGCTCAGCTATTTATATCAGAGCTGCTGGCCCCAGCTCGGGGTGACTCAGCCCCGATGGCCAGATGGAAACATGTTTTGAAGATGGTCTAATGGGAGGGTGGGGACGGGGGACCCTCCCTGCCAGCACCCCCAGCCTCCTGTCACTGCTCCCTCGGGGCTGCTCCTCCCGGGCAAACCCCGCGTCGGGGGTGGCAGCGGAGACAGACCTTGTGGCCACGGCCCGGCTCGGCACGGGCCACCCCGCTCCCTTCCCCCGTGTCACCGCGGTGTCCCCAAACCCCGCGGTGCAGCTCAGACCCCGCCCAGTGCGAATTGCACCCCCGGCCCCCGCTGGTGTCCCCAAAGGCGGGGACGGCAGCCCCCAGTCCCAGCCGGGGGGTTTCCCCCCGTTGTGCCCTGGCTGGGGTGGGGGCTGGGGGGCCCCCCGGGCACCCGCCGGGGTCAGGGAGGGAGCGGCCGGGCAGGTTATCGCCTGCCACGGGAGCGGGGCCCCGCGGGGACCGGGCGCTGCCGACGCCGAGAAGGGGCCTCCCGTCTGTCGGGGGGTGGCTCGGGGGGTCCCACCCCCGTCTGGCACCCTGGGTGCCCCCCCCCGCAGCCTCCCTGAGCGCAGGGATGGGATGTGCGCCCGCGTGTCCGTCTGTCCCTCATGGATGAGCTGAGCGCCCCCGGCCTCAGCTGCCCCATGCGAGGGGTTTGTCCCCAGGGCTGCCCCGCGTCCCCCTGGGGGGACGAACCCCCCGGGGTCGTGTGTGTGTAGAGGGTCACCGTCCTGCCCCTTCGCCCCTGAAGTTTGGGGGGTCCTTGAGAAGGGGTTACCCCCCTAAACACAGATCACGCCGCACGTGGGTCAACCCCCCACCCCCGCGGAGGCTCCGCCAGGACAAGGGGGGGGTCGGGGTGTCCCCCCCGCCCCGGGGAGGGGTCGCGTTGGCACAGGCGGTGGTGGGCGACCTCGAAGGGGGTCGTACACACAGAGGGGGCTGCACCCCCGGGGGGTGGGCACGGGGTGAAGGGGGTGCCCCGGGGCGTGGCGTCACGCGGGGGGGGCGGGGCGGGGCGGGGCGTTCAGGGCATCCCCGGGCGCGGGGCCGCGGCAGCGCGGAGCCCGTCGGGGGGCGGCGGGGGCTCGGCGGGGGCTCGGCGCGGCACTGCGGGGGCTGCGGGGGCTGCCCGCCCCGGCCCGGCCCGCACCATGACAATGAGCTCCGTGGCCGAGAGCTTGCTGGGGTCCGACCCCTCCAAAGCCGCCTTCCTGGAGCTCGGCCCCCCCCAGCACTACCCGCTACACGGCCTCCCCCCCGCCGGGCACCCCCAGCACGACCCGCCGCCCTTCGCCTCCTACGGCCGGCCCGGGCATTATCCGTACCCCGGGGGGGCCCCCCCACCGCCCCACGGGGGTCCCTACCTGCCCTACCCGCCCCCCGGCGCCCCGCACCCCCCGGCCCCCGGCGCCAGGCTACAGGACACAGGTAAGGGGGGCGCGGGGGGGTCGGCGCCGCGAACCTCCCACCCGGGGCACCCACTCGGCGGGGAGCGCCGGGGCTGCGCCCGGACGGAGCCGTCGGAAGCGCTCCGGGGCTGCGCCGCCCCATCGGGGCAGCGCCGGTGCGGGGCTGGGCACGGCGGGGGGGTCCGCGGGGGGGTCCGCGGGGCCCGGGGGTGATGTCCTGTCTCTCCTCAGAGAGCCTTGACCCGCTGGAAACCCTTGGTTTCAAGGAACCCCAGGCATGGGGAGCATCAGCCCCACACTGCCCATAACCCTCTGACCGGAGACCCCCGGCTGCCCATAACCTGCACCTCGCGCCCCCCAGTTGCCCACACCCTGCAGGCTGTGCCTTCTCAGGCCGGGCATTTCTCCCCTCTCCCCACCACCACCACACTCCCATCTCAGTTCCCTGCCCTGTTCCACCCCTGTTCCCCACTGTTTTCCCCAAAAGCTGATGCAGGAACCCGCAAGCTGAGCCACCCTGGAGAGGAGCGGCCCCAGGGCTACCCCACGGAGGGGTCCTGAGCCCGGCTCAGCCACCCGGGCCCTGTTGGCCCCCCATCAGCTCGGGGGAGCCGTGGCCGTGGTACCTGGGTGCACAGAAACCCTCAACACCGTGCCCGGAGCTCACCCACACCCTCCATGTGCTGCTGAGCCAGGGACCACCAGTGTGCCCACAGGAAGGGCTCCAGGGCAGGGCAGTCCCTCCTGTTGCACCCTCCATCCCCCCGGGAGGCCCTGCCTTCCCCCCCCCCATGCTGGGTGCAGGGCAGAGGAGCCCCTGTCCCATGTGCTTTTGGACTTTATGAGTAGTGATATTGGATGAATAATCCCATCCCTCCCTTCCTCCTCCTCTGTCCCTTTGGCTTCCCCCAAGGCTTGAACAAGCAGCGAAGCCAAAGCAGGTTCCCCCCTTCCTAATCCCCCAAACAATGACTGTTTTGGGGGGATGGTTTGGGGGTTTGGGTTTTTTTTTAACCAGCATGTTGGCTTAACTCTGTCTCCTCTCCCACCCCAAGAGCACGAGAAGCCCCTGGCCGTGCCCAACGGGGAGCTGCGCATCAGCGGGAAGGGGAAGAAGCTGCGGAAGCCGCGGACCATCTACTCCAGCCTCCAGCTCCAGGCGCTCAACCAGCGCTTCCAGCAGACCCAGTACCTGGCGCTGCCGGAGCGCGCCGAGCTGGCGGCGCAGCTGGGGCTCACCCAGACCCAGGTACGGCCCCGCCGAGCGGGACAGGACACCCACGGGCAGCGGGGACGGCCGCGGCCGTCGGGCTGTGCCACGTGCTCCGGAGCGACTCCGGATCCAGGCCGCGTCCCGCCGCCGGGGCGCAGCTGGAGCCGTGCCGAGCCGGGCCGTGCCGCGGCGGGGGAGCTGGCGCCGGTGGGCCCGCAGGGCTCGGGTTTGGGGCGCCCCTGCTCGCACCTCCCAGCGGCACCGGGACTTTCCCAGCCCCGGAGCCTGGCTGCCGGCCCGGCCGTGCCCGGCGCTGGGCGGCCCCGGGCCGTGGGACGAGGCGAGTGGGTTTTTGAAGGCGATGGGGAGAGACAGGCAGGCGGCAGCGGTGCAGCCCGGAGCCAGGGGCGAAGCGAGCTCATAAAGCCAGGGAAGAGGAGACAAGTGGGAACCTGCCGGCAGCGCGGGGGGGACCGCGGGGAGGAATGAGCGGGGCCACCACCCCAGCGCGGCGGGCGCAGCCCAGCCCAGCCCCGGCACCCGGCACCCGGCACCCGGCTGGGCTGGTGGGCGCCACAGCCCGAGACACAGAGGGGGGGACGTGGGGATTCCTGCCTCGCTCTCCGGCTCTCTGGGCTCCCTCTGCCTCTTCCCGCGTTCTCCTCCCGCTGCCCTGAGTGGAGTCTCTGGCGGCTCCGAGCCCAGCTTATCTCACAGAGATGATGTGCACGGGGACCCCGCAGAGGGGTCTGTCCTGGTTGGTGCTGGGGGCTTAGAGGGGGGTGTTGGTCACATCCTCCCCACTCACTCCTCTCTCTCCCCTCCCCCAGGTGAAGATCTGGTTCCAGAACAAACGCTCCAAGTACAAGAAGATCATGAAGCAGGGCTCGAGTGCACCCGACGGGGAGCACCTCCACGCCACCCCCTCCCTCTCCCCCTGCTCCCCCAACATCCCCCCGCTCTGGGACATCCCCGTGCCGGGAAAAGGGCCCCCCCTGGCCCCCAGCAGCTACATCAACAGCTTTGGAGCCTGGTACCAGCCACACCCGCAGGACACCATCCCCCGGACCCCCATGATGTGACGGTGCCACCGCTCCAGCACCCGCCGGATGCAGGAGGGACAGTGAGGGGATGCTCTGCTGCCATCCCCTGAAGGACTGGGAAGCCCAGCGAAGCCCTGGGAGATCCCAGCGAGTGGAGAAGGAGGAAGAGGAGGAGGAAGGTGACCACAGTTTGCAGGAACCTGGACCCCCTGCTCTGTCACGGTCCGAAGTGACACAGAGCCCTGGTGTGCCCACCCCTGTGGGACAGGACTCAGCCTCCAGCAGCAGCCCTGGGTCCCCCCATTCATGGACAGGGGGCAGGGGGACCCCAAGAGGGGCTGGGGAGTCCCTGGACCCCCCCCGGCTGGCTTTATTTATAAATAGTGTCCGTTATTGTGAGTGCCCCCCTTTATAAACAGACTGAACTCTGGCTGGTTCTGCTCCTCCTCACCCGCCGCTGCTTTGGGGTGTCCCTGCCTTGGGGGAGACGCTTCCATCCTGCTCCTCGGGGGCCCCCACATCCAGAGCTCCTGGGAAAACAGCCCAGAGGGGCTGGGGGTGCTGGAACAGGGGGCTGGGGCTGTGTCCCCCCACCCCACCCATCTGTGCAGGACCTGCTGTTTGTGCTCCCCTGAATGGAGCCGCAATTACCGTAATTGTGGGGCCGGGGCCGTGAGGGGCTTCTCGCTGCCTCCCCCGGGCAATTTCAGGCAATTTGGAGCTGTTGGAGATGTCTCTTTTAATAAGGGTGGGAGCAGGAGGGTGGCGGGACACAGGCCAGGGGTTCCTGCCCTGTGTCCCCCGCAGTCCTGTGGATACCTGGCCCTGGGAGTGAGGGTTTTTTGGGAGCAGGGGGTAATTTCCCGCTGCAGGTTTGGCCGTGGGTAACCTCTCCCCTCCTCCCTTTGTGCTTCCAGAAGCCAGAACCAGGCTGGAAAATACATTCTTGTGATTTCCTCCTTTTCCCATGTCATTATTTCCCACCTTTCCCGATCCTGCTCAGTGTTTGTCACCCACGGTGGGGTTGGGACCCCCCCTGGGGCTCCCCCTGCTGAGGTGGGCAGCGATTCCACACCGAGCACAAACATACCGTGATCCTCACTCTGTAATTCCCCTGCTCCAAGGATCCTTTCCCGCTGCGGGGACCCCATTTTGGGAACTCTGTTTGTTTTGCACCTTCAGCATCACACAGGGCCAGAGTCATTCCCAGCACTTGGCTCCCACCTGAGGAGTCGGGATCAATAGCTGGGAATGGCACGTCTGGGGCTGGTGGCACTGGGGACCCCCAGGTCCCTGCTGGCATCCACAGGGTTGGACGTGATTCCCTGCCACCCTGCCAGGTTGGATCCCTCGGCCAAGAGGTTTGGGGTGCTGGCAGTGATCCCACGGGATGGTTGTTCCCAGCTGTGTCCAGCGATGGCACGTGGGTGATGTGTCCCCAGCACCCTGGGACACTGGGACTGACTGTGATCCAAGTGCATAGTGGATGATGTTTCCAGTGGGATTTTCCTGGAGTGATGGAGCCTGCCCGCCCCTCTGAGGCTTTAGGAAAGGAGATGGATCTGCTTTGTGGCAACACTGGAAAATAGGAGAATTTCCCATCCAGGAACTGGGATAACCCAACTCCTTGAGTGGGATTTATCCCGGACAGGAGCTTGGGGCTGGAAGGGGTGGCTTTCCTTTGGGAATTACTCACAGCCATGGGAAGGGGCTGGTGGTCCTGTCTGGGTAGGGAGGCTGGGGATGCTACCCTGGAGGAGGCGGGTGCTGGGCACATCCCAGCCCTGCGGATTTGGGGTGACCTGCAGAGCCAGCGGTGCCAGGAGGGAAGGATCCCTCGGGATGGGGGAGCAGGAGGCAGAGGCCGTGGCGCCTGCTCGGCGTTCCCGATGGATGTGCTGCCAAGGACCTGCAGCCAGAGCCGCTCACAGGTCCTGTCTTGCAGTGGGAGGGAAGGAGGGAAGGAGGGAGGGAAGGAGGCAGCAGCCTCGGCTCTGGGGCCCGGCTGGCGCCTGGACCCTGTGGGGGGATCCCAGCACCCCCCCACACTCATGGGAGAGCCACAGCCCACCCCCCCCTGCCTAGAGAGGGGGGCAGAGCCGGGTTAGGACATCCCTGGATGTAGGGAAGTCCCTTGGGCACACATGGGAATCGGGTCTCTGCTGCCATCCCAGGTTGTGCTGGGATGGGGACATGGATGGGGGGCCCCTGGATGCCCTCAGGAAGGGGTTTGGGGGCTGTCCTGCCTTTTCCCAGATGGATGGGGATCCAACTTCCCTCTGCACCCAGGGGAGGGGCAGCACAGCCAGCCTGGCATCGCTGACCATGGTTGTCACCCTTCTCCACCAGCCAAAAGTGGCCCTGGCTGGGGACGCAGGAGAGGCCAAGACATCCCGGTCTGGTTTAACCCACTGGATGGGGGAAATGCCACTGGGGGACCGGGGTGTCCCTGGGCCTGTTCCTCCTTCCGCCCACACAGCCTGGAAATCAGGTCTGGGCCGTGGGGACATTGGTGTCACCTCCCCGTCCCCAGCAGGGTGATGGGACACGGATGGGGACACCCAGGGAGCAGAGACACCCCGAGGCCTCCCAGGAGCGCTCCTGGCCCGTTTTCCAGGGGCCAAGAGCAGCGGTGGAGCCCCGGCAGTGCCGTGGCTCCGGCGTCGCTCCAGGTTAGCCAAGAGCTGGGAAGGGCACGGAGCCACGGTGGATGCCAGGCCGGGCCGTGGGTGGGCGGCTGCCCCCGCTCCCTGTGCTGGCACTGGGGTGACGCAAGAGGCTGAAGGGACGTGTTGTAACCGGGCAGGACCCGCGTGCCGCGCTGGGAGGGCTGTGCCGGGGCTCGTGGGCGATGCCGGGGGCACACGGGCACTGCCACCCCCCTGGCTCGGGCCCACCGGGGCTCCAAAACACAGCTGAGCCCCCACCCTGCCCGTGGCCACTGGAAAATCCCCTCGGAAGGGGTGGGTGTCCCCAGTGTCACAGCGTCGCCATCCCGGTGCTGCGCTCCGTCCCACCCGGGGATAACTGGGATAACTGGGATAACGAGGGGGGGTCATTCCATCCCTGTGCCAGGGCGGGACAGGGATGTTGGGAGGAGTGGGGTGATGGGATGACATCCCCATCGCTCTGGGAATCCTCCCAGACCCCCTCCTGGTCTGGGAATGTGCTGGGACGCCAAGCTTGGCCCCGGGGAGGGATGTCTGGATCCCGCAGCCCCTTTTGGGGAGCTCTGGGGGTCTTGGCCACCTCTGGGCTGGAAGAGCTGGAGGTGATACCAGTGGGGACCCCCCTGGGGTGTTGGAGATGGGGATGAGAGGGGAGGAAAGGGGGACAGGCAGCCCGGGGGGGCTGTGCCCGGGCAAGTGCCAAGGGGTCCTGCACCCCCTGGGCACTCCCAACCCCAGGGACCCTCTGGAAAAGTCTCTGAGGATGGGACAGAGAGTGGGACAGGAGGGATTTGGAGACTACAGGAGCTCAATACCTTCCCAGTGCCTATCCCTGTGCTGTCAGGGCTGCCAGGGGAGCCCCATTCCCAGGCAGTGCTGGAAGGGAGCAGGGTTAGAGCCTGTCCATGGGCACAAGGCACCTGGAATTTATATAATCCATGGATATGTAATCGTCTGCCTTTTTATTTTTTTTTCCTTCATCTCTAAATTAAAAAAAAACCCCAAACATTAAAAACATTTAAAAAATTAAAAATATATTAAAAAAAATTAAAACTCCCCAGTGCCAGCTCGTGCCATGGAGCTTCTCACGCCGGGCTGGGACACTTGGATTCCTCCTCTTCCATCCTGGAGCCTGGGATGGGAACAGGGCAGTGGGTGCAGCTCATGGAGGGGCTTAGGGAACCCCCCCAAGGGTGCAAGGTTGGCCTGTGTGGACTTGGGAATGGGAAGGGGGGATGGGGAGACAGATTTGGGGACTCTGAGAGCTTGATGCATCCCGTGCCATGCTGGGGGTCCCCATGGAGGACTGGGGGGGACTGAGGGGTCCCCACAGCCAGGGGGGATGAGATGTAGGGTCCAGGTCCGGGGGGGCGATGGGGCATCACCCCCACCCGTGACACGACGCGGGTGACAGCGGGAGCAGCAGGACAGGGCCAGGTCTGGGGGGTCTTGGGGTCACTCGAGCCCCCCGACCCCATAACTCCACTGGGGAAGGCACCGTCTCCACAGGGGCAGCGCCTTGGTCCTGTGGGATCGGGTTTTGGGGTGTCCTGTCCCCCACATGGCTCGTGGGGTGTCCCCAGAAGGGACACCGGGGCAGCCCAGCCACCCTCCCAGTCTGCACGGCTGGGAGCCTTACTGGTCCCAGTAAGAGGAGCAGGAGGAAGCGCCAGGTCTCCGTGGCAGTTCAGGGAATGCTCCGAAATGCAGGAATAAAATCCTTTCCCCCCAAATTCCCTCTCAGCAGGGCGAAGTGGGATTTGGGGTGGGCCAGCGCCATCTGTGCCCGTCACCCTGTGCCATCCCACGACCCGACCACCCCCCAGCTGCCCCCCGAAAACAGGGCACAAAAAATTAGGGTTTAAATGTGCATTTCCAAAGGTGGGGAAAAAACTCTGCTCCAAAAAAAAACTGGGAAAAAAACCTGGCGTTTGGAAATTCAAGTTCAAAACACTTTTATCATTTAATATTTCTCGCTTGGTTCCCTTGGAAAGCAGCAAAGGACATTCAGGGGGACCCCCACCCTGTCCTGGGGGGGGGAGGTGTCACATCAACCAGGGGGGGGGTTCCTTAAAAACAAAAATAAAAGGACAAAAAACCAGATCGAAACCAGTTTGGTTTGGAACAACTTTATACAAACAAACCTTATGTACACTCGCTTTTTTTCCCCCCCAAACACCCCTATTTATATAAGGCAACATAAATAAGGTCCCCGGGACTGTACAACACATATGAACACTCCTTAAAACGGCACTTTCAGCTTAAAAAAATAGCACTATTCTCTTAAAAAATAGGAAAGAGTTCGGGCTTTTTTTTTTCCTTTAAAATATGTTGTCGATTTAGTTAAAAAATAGGCATTTTTGTCGCCGTTCCTTAACCCACACCCAGAGGCACTGCCAGAAAACGGAGATTAACACGACTTTCCTCTTTCAAAAATAACTTAAACCATTCCTGAACTGTTTAAATATTAAAATAATCCCACCCACCCACCCACTTTTTATTTAATTTTAAATAACCACCTTGTTGTCTGAGCATCGTCCCGGGGGATTCCCACAGAGCTGCTGGGCTGAGGGTCCTGGGTTTGCTCCTGTGGGGTGTCTGTCACCCCCCCAAATCACTCCCACTCCGTGGATTTTGGAGCCAGGGTGAAGCACATCCCGCTCCTCCGGCGTCGGCGACCCCCTGGGACAGCATCCTCCATCCCAACCTGGGACAGCATCCTCCATCCCAACCTGGGACAGCATCCTCCATCCCGACCTGGGACAGCATCCTCCATCCCGACCTGGGACAGCATCCTCCATCCCGACCTGGGACAGTGTCCTCCATCCCAACCTGGGACAGTGTCCTCCATCCCAACCTGGGACAGCATCCTCCATCCTGACCTGGGACAGTGTCCTCCATCCCAACCTGGGACAGCATCCTCCATCCCGACCTGGGACAGCATCCTCCATCCTGACCTGGGACAGCATCCTCCATCCTGACCTGGGACAGCATCCTCCATCCCAACCTGGGACAGCATCCTCCATCCTGACCTGGGACAGCATCCTCCATCCTGACCTGGGACAGCATCCTCCATCCTGACCTGGGACAGCATCCTCCATCCCAACCTGGGACAGCATCCTCCATCCCAACCTGGGACAGCATCCTCCATCCTGACCTGGGACAGCATCCTCCATCCCAACCTGGGACAGCATCCTCCATCCCAACCTGGGACAGTGTCCTCCATCCCAACCTGGGACAGTGTCCTCCATCCCAACCTGGGACAGCATCCTCCATCCTGACCTGGGACAGCATCCTCCATCCCGACCTGGGACAGTGTCCTCCATCCCCACGGAATGTGGGGGCTCCGGGTTACCCTCCTGGGTGCCCACTCCTGTTCGGGGCTCACTCAGTGGGGTGACCCCCAAAGGCAAAGCTCCAGAGAGGGACCTGCAGGGGGATGAGGCCCCTGGGGGGCCGGTTTTATTTTAGGGGGGAAGGCGATGGAAAAATAAAAAAAAAAATAAATGCAGAAGAAGAATTTTCCGCCTTTTCCCACGCTGGGAGTGGAGGATTTGAGCCCTTTGCAGTCCTCTGGTTCCTGAGATGAGCGGGGAGAGGGGAGGTAAGTGTGTCTAGGGGTGCGTGTACACGGGTGTCCTTTCTTTTCCTTTTTTTTTAAAAAAAAAAAAAGAAGAAAAAGCAAAAAGTAGGAGGGGGAAAAAAGGAGGCAAAGGAGTTCTGCCACTGTCTCTCAGCCCTGGCTCTCCCTGTTAGTAGACGGCGCCGGCGTTGGGGGGCCCCGGGGAGGTGTGGTGCATCGTGGTGGCCGGCTGTGCCTGGTGGGGTCCGTGGGGTCCGCCGAGGGGCTGCGGGTGGTACCAGGGGTTGTGCTCCTCCAGAAATCCGGGCGAGGAGCTGTAGGGGAGCGGCTGCGGGAGCGGGGTCCGGCCCGGCGCGCTGCCGTGCGAGTTACTGTCCCAGACGGCCGGGGAGGGGGGCGAGTTGCAGGCCATGGAGTCGCTGTTGTTGGGGCTGTGCTCCAGCGGCACCTCGCCGTTCTTGTACAGCTTCTTGAACTTGGAGCGGCGGTTCTGGAACCAGATCTTCACCTGAGGGAGGGAGGGACAAGGGTCAGAGCCCCGGCGTGGAACTGGGGGTGTGGGATGGATGGGGAGAGAGGGTGGTGTGGGGAGCTCGGGCACAAGGAAGGGATAAGTGACATGGGCATCACAGGGATCCCAGAGACACGGGAAAGCACCTGGAATATGGGCATTATGGGGACCTCAGAGACACGGAAAGGGATGAGGGATGTGAGGGTCACAGGAAACCCAGAGACATGGGAAAGCACTTGGAATATGGGCATTATGGGGACCTCAGAAACATGGGAAGGGATAAGGGACATGGATGTCAAGGGGACCCCAGAGACACAGGAAGGAGATGGGACAGGGGGGTCACAGGGACCCCAGAGACACGGGAAGGAACCTGGGACAGGGGGTCACAGGGACCCCAGAGACAGGAGAAGGGATAAAGGACAAGGGTGTCACAGGGATCCCAGGGACACAGTGCAGTGCTGGAAGAGCCCTGGGACATGGGTGTCACGGGGACTCCCGAGACACGATGCACCACAGAACAAAGGGTGGCATGGGAAGCTTGGACACACCATGTGCCACTGGAAGGCACCCAGGACACAGACACCGTGGGGACCCCACACGGTGGGTGGCAGGAAGCAGTCCCGGGTGTCGTGGGGACCCCGGACACACGGTGGGTGCACAACAGGAGGTCACCCGGGATGTGGGTGTCACGGAGAACACATGATGCTCTGCGGGAAGCACCCGTGGAATGGGTGTCGTGGGGACCCCCCTGGGGAGGCGGGTGTCACAGGAAGCCCCCCTGGGGACACGGGCGTCGCGGGGAGCATCACGCGGGCGTCGGGAGCGTGCCAGGGCTGGGTGAGGCGGCGCTGGACGCGCTCGGCCCCCGCGGGGACGGGGTGGGGGCGGCGGCGGTTGTCACCCAAACAGGATGTCCCTCTGGGAGCGGGTGACGCGCTCCGTCAGCCCTTTGCCGAGTGTCCTCGATTGCTTCATCGCCCAAGGGAGAAGGAGGAGGAGGAGGAGGAGGAGGAGGAGGAGGAGGAAGGCCGGGCGCTGGGAGCGCCGCGCCAAGGGCGGCACAAGGGCGCCGGCGCCGGCCCGCAGGCAGGGAGGGCACCCGGGCCGGGCTGCGGGGGAGTCACACGCAGGGACAGTGGTGACAACCCACTCCCCTCCCACAAGCAGATCCGTCGGGACAGTTTGTCCCCTCGCCGGGCAGAACCCCAAAAACAAGGGGTTAGCCCCGACTCTGGGTGGTTCGTGGGGAGGAGAAGCCCGTCCCGCACGTCCCTGCTCTTCCAGTCCAGCCTGAACTGCCACCCCAGCGCAGGGTCCCGGCGGGGTGTGGAGCCGGTCCCCAAATCCCTTCTCTCTGCCTGAGCCAGGCAGGACAGCGCAGTCGGGGAGCCTCGGGAAGTGCAGACGGGAGGAGCACGGTTCGGCCCCATGTCCCCGTGCTCCTGCTGGACTTGGGATCAGGACCCGGTGTCGGGATGGGGAGTCCCGAACATCCCGTCCCGAGCGTCCCGTCCCGAGCGTCCCGTCCCGCCCGGGACTCGGTGCCCCGCATTCCCGGGACACCGGGTGCGCTGCTGACCCAGGACCTTCCCAGGCACCGGGGCAGGATTCAGCCCCCAACCCTTGGGGTGCCTGAGCAGAGCAAGGTCTGGGATGGTGCCAGCTCCAAAGAGAGGGGGATAAACGCCAAAACTGGGGAGTGGGGCACGGCTGGAATCCGTCTCCTCTCCCTGTTCCTTCCCTCCTCTCCAGTTTTCCCTCGGCAAAGCATATCTGCTCCGCGTGGGGAAATCTGCTTTGCCCGCTTTGCACCCGCAAACAAGCGGGGACTATCCATTCCTGGGGACCCCCAGACCCCCTCTGAGCTGCCCGGGAACAGAACTCCCTCCCAAGACCCCCCCAGTTCGCATTTGTGAGGAGCAGGGCAGGTCTTGCTCCCCCTCTGCCGATCCCTCCCGCCCGTGGTCGGGAATTGGGGTGTCGGGGGGTCTCAGCCCTTACCTGGGTCTGGGTGAGCCCCAGCTGGGCGGCCAGTTCAGCCCGCTCGGGCAGCGCCAGGTACTGGGCTTTCTGGAATCGGCGTTGCAGGGCAGCCAGTTGGTAACTGGAGTAGATGGTGCGGGGCTTGCGGATCTTCTTGGGTTTCCCGTTGACCATCCGCACCTCCGGCTCCGGCTCCTCCTTCACCGACACTGGGCAGAGAGCGCAGGGGTGAGGCGGGTGGAGGGGTCCCAGCCACCCCCCGTCCCCAACTCAGGGCCATCCCGCTCGAGGTGCTGGCACTACCTCATCCCCTGGAATATCCCCTGGGACACCCCCTGGGTTATCCCCCGGACGCCGCATCCAGCACGGATCCATCCCACCGCGTCCCCCCGGCAGCTCCGGGAATGCCGGAGGGGGATGAGCTTTGCCCCAACATCCGCCAGCAGCAGCAGCACCTCCCGCCCCAACTCGGCGATAACTTAGACACGCACAGCTCCACAAAACTCCCTCCGGAATCCCCAGGGAGCAGCGGGATGGGCACGACCCCCTCTCCCCACAGCATCCTACCTGCTTCTTGCGCCGGGAGCTGCTGGTCCCTGAAGTGGCCGTACTGGCGGTAGGAAGGGCTGTAGGAATAGTCGGATTTGGGCGAGTAGGTGCCGGCGGCGCCAATGCCGTTGAGGTTGAACTGGTGGTAGGGGTAGTGGCTCACGGGCTGACTGTAGGACTGGCCCGGGTAGTAGTCGTGCTGGCTGGTGTAGTAGCCCAAATCGGTGACGGAGGACTCCGGTAAGGTGGGCGAGTCCTTGGAGGCGGCATGGCAGCTCAGCGAGCCCGACAGGTCCGTGAGGATGCTGGAAAGCTTCTTATCGAAAGAGCCGCTCATCGCTGGCACTGGCGAGGGGGGAGCTGCCTGCCCGGCTGGGGACCCCCCAACCTGGCGGCTCCGGCTGCCGCGTCAGGCCTGGCGTGCCCGGAGCTGGATCCCGCGCTGCGGCTCTTTGCGAGGAGCAACCAAAGAGACTGTGCCCAAACCTCCGGCCCCGGCCGCCTGCTTAAAGCCTTTAATTAGGGAGCAGGGCAGGGTGGGTGCGCATTCCGATTGGCTCCAGAAATATTGCCTGGGAGGCAAAATAGGCTCCTGCCTCCTCCTGTGTGGGTTCTTTTTTATTTTTTTTCTCTCTCCCTTATTTTTTTTTTCCCTCCCTTCTTTCCCTCTCTCAAGAAACAACAAAGAGTGGGTGAAGGAAGGCGAAGGAGTAAATACAGAGCGCAGGGTCCCGTCTGCAGGAGGGGGGGCCCTGGGGATGCAGGGGGCACTGTGGGGGTCAGAGAGGGCTGGTTTGCAAGGGGACTTTGGGGGCTGTGGGGATTTGGAGGAGGAGTCGGGGGGGGGGGGGTGTTTGTTGGGTGGCAGGGAGGGTTGGGGGTTGGGAGCAGGGTGGATCCATGCTTGGGGCTGGGGGGCTCCGGGGGTGTGTTTGTGGTGTCCTCCCTTCTCCCCAGATCCCACCTTCTCCCAGAAGTGACTCCCAGTCCAACACCATCCCCAAGGCAGAGCCCCCCCATCCTCACGGAACAGAGGACCCCTCACCCACCCCAAAACTTGCCGTGCTGCACCTGCCCTGTGGGGACCTCGGGCAGTGACAGGCCCTGATTCTGGGGGAACACTCCCCCCCCCGGGGCTCCGTGTCTCTCCCACCCCCAGTCCGGGTCCTGCCCCCCCCCCCGCTGCCCTCAGAGCCCCTCCCGCAGCATCGCCCAGCTCAGGGTCCCGAGCCAGCCCTGGTCACCCCCGGCCACTCCCGGGGCTGTCCCCAGGAGGACGGGGGGCTTTGGGAGGGGGGCTTTTATCTGCGGGAGGGGGGTCTCCGCTTCTGCAGGCGGGTCTTTACCCTGAAAGGGGGGGTTGGGAGGGGGCTGGGGGTCCTTAAGCCTGGCGGCGGCTGCACCCTCCTGTCCCACCGTGTGTCCCCCCAGCCCCTCGGGCCCCCCCGGGCCCGCACTGCGGTGCAAAGGCACCACCTGACGGACACAGAGGGAACTGCGCCCCCGCCGCCGCCCCGGGTTCGAGTCCCGGCGCCGCCGCCACCGCCGGGCCCGCCAGGAAAACCGGATAATCGTCGGGAATGTGGAGGGACTGGGGATAGAAAGAGTGGGATGGGAACGGGAATAGGGGTAGGAACAATAAATAATGATAGGGATAGGGATAGGGATAGGGATAGGGATAGGGATAGGGATAGGGATAGGGATAGGGATAGGGATAGGGATAGGGATAGGGATAGGGATAGGGATAGGGATAGGGATAGGAGTGGCAGTAGGAATAGGAATAAGCAGGAAAAAGAATGAATAGAAATAGGATTAGGAATAGGAATAAGAATAGGAACAGGAATAAGGAATAAGATTAGGAGTAGGAGTGGCAGTAGGAATAGGTGTAAGTAGGAAAACGAGTGAATAGAAATAGGATTAGGAAGAGAAATAAATAGGAATAGGAATAAGAGTAAGAATAAACAGGAATAGGAATAAGAATAGGAACAGGGAGAAATAGAAATAGGAATAAATACGAATAGGAAAAGGAATAAACAGGGATAGGAATAGGAATAAATAGAAAGAAGGATAGGAATGTGAGCAGGAATAGAATTAGAAGTAGGAATAAGACTAGAAGTAGGAATAGAAATAGGAACAAGAATAGGAAAAGGAGAAATAAAAATAATAGAAGTAGAAATATAGAAATGGAAATAATAGGAATAGCTCTAAAGAAATAAATAGAACTGGAGATGAATCCCGGAGGGAAGTAGGAGCCTCTGCAGGAGGCAAAGCATGACCCCAAAGCGTGGAGAATGGCACGGACTCGCTTCCCACATGGGAATTGTAATTGGGGATTCGAGGAGTTCATTCAGAGGGGACAGAAGCGTCTGGGCCAAGCCCAGCCCTGGGAGCTGTGCGGGGCCTCCCCGGGGAGCATTCCCAGGGTCCCGAGGAGCCGCAGGGACATCCCCGGCTCCCTGGCCTGGCTGTCCCCCTCCAGCCGGACTGTCACCGGGGCCGGCTCCTGCCGGGAGAGGGATGTGCCGGCAGGAAAAGCCGGTTGGGGAGCTGGAGGCCAGGGAGGGCGGCTGGGGAGTGGGGCACAAGCGGGGAGCAGGTCCGTGCAGTCCTGAACCAGTTTGGGACTGGGAGGCACTGGGGCTGCCGGAGGCTGCTGGGCCAGGCTGGCGCTTGTGGAGCCCCAAATCCAGGAGCTCATGGATGGGGGAGGGGGGTGGGGGGACTTGGGGGGACCAGTTTGGGTGAACTGGGACACTGTGGGGATGGCAGAAGTCGTCGTACTGGGGCACCCGGGGGTCTCTGTGGGTCGGTGCAGGGGCAGGGCTGACCATGGGGTCAGGTCAGCACTCCCCTGCTGTCCCCTGTGCTCCCCACAAGTTTGGGCCCCCTCCCCATACCCCCCATAGGGCTGGAGGGCCCCCCCTCGTCCACCCCACAAGGCTGAAGTGATCCCCCCCGTTCCTCCTACAAGGCCAAAGGGATCCTCCCGTTCCTCCCCACAAGGCTGAAGGGATCTCCCCATTCCCCCCACAAGGCTGGAGGGTTTTCCTCCCCTGTGGCCCCCAAAAGGTCGGCGGGTTCCCTTCATGTGCCCCCCCCAGGCTGGAGGGGTTCCCTCCTGTGGCCCCCTAAGGCTGCAGGACCTCTCCTCCCATACTCCCCCAAAAGGTCGGAGGGCTTTTCCCTCCTTGCCTCCCACGAGGCTGGAGGGGATCCCTCCCATAGCCCCCCGGAAGTTGAAGGATCCCCCCGTGCCCCCCCAACACTGGTGGGGGGGTCCTGCTTGGAAACATCCCCCGAGCTCGGCAGCGCCCACGGGGGTCCCCCCGTGTCCCCCCCGCTCCGCCACAGCCGCGGCTGATGGAGGTGTCGAGGGAGGCGCTGCCGATTGACCTGCCCGACCCCAAATCCCAAATCCCAAATCCCCCAGAGCATCCTTGGGGGAACGGCGTCATCTAGTGGTGTTTTGCGGTAATGACACCCCTGTGCGGTGATGTCACCTTCGGGGCACGAGGGACAGGGATGGGGTGGAGACGAAGGACTAGGGACTGGGGACAAGGAACAGGGGACGAGGAACAGGGATCGAGGAACGTGGGACGGAGGGCAAAGGATAAGGGAGGGGGCCGGGCCCCAGTGCCGTAGCCGTGTGCCGGCCGCCGGCAGCGCTGCCCGTGGCACTGTCCCCTTGTGCCGTCACTCTTTCCAGTGACACGGCACAGGGGCACGGGGACATCGGGGTGGGGGACACAGGACATCCTGCAGGCCCCCCAGCCTAGCCCACCCCACCCACGGGTTTCCTGGCACGGGTGGGAGCGGCGCGGTGGCTCCCGGTGACCTCAGCCGGATCGGGGACGGGGACGATGGCTGTCACCGCCGCCACCCCTCCCGGCAGGGAAGTGGCGATGCTGCGGCTGCGGTCGCGTCCCCAGGGCCACCGCGGTGTCCCCGTCGCGGTCACCACGGGGATGGGACTGTCCCACGGCACAGCCGCTCTCGGGGTCCCGCCGTGACCTCCTGTCACGGGGGAAGGGGGGGTCCCATTCCATGGGGGTCCCGTCCCATGGTGGGGGTTCGAGCCTCGAGGGCTCATCCCATGGGGTGTCCTAAATTGGGGGTCCCATCCCGGCGGTTCCATCCCATGGAGGGTCCAAATTTGGGGTGGGGGCGGGAGAGAGGGGGATGCGGGGAAGGGGGGGGAACACACACGACTCGGTTCTTCCCACGTGGGCGTGAGGGGGGTCAGCGGAAGGGGGGGACGGGACGTGATGCTCCCACGTCGGTTTGGGGGTAAACTGCGGACTGGGGGCAGGGGCGTGGAGGGACTCGGTGCCCCCCGCGTGGGCTTTGGGAGTTATCTATGGGAGGGGAGGGAGACTCGACATAATACCCCACGTGGGCGTGGGGACTGCGGGTTTGGGGTGAGGGGGACGTTGCCGGTACTGGGGAGAGAGGCTGCAAATTTAGGGGGGGTGCGGTGCCCCCGCGTGGGCATGGGGGGGGACACAACCGGAGAGGGAGGAGGACACACGGGTGTGCCCGCACGCCCCTCCCTCCCCTCACCTGCGCACGCAGGTACGCGGGGTTGGTGATGGGTGAAGGATGGGGTGCGACCCCTTTAAAAGGGGGCGTGTCCGGGTTGTGCCAAGTCCCGCCCCCGCCCCGCCCGGCCCCGCCCTCCCGGAGCGCACCGGGCCCGGTGGGGCGGCAGCCGCGGCTACGGCGGCCGGTGCGGGACATGGCGCGGCGCCGCCACCGCCCGCTGCTGCTGCCGCCGCTCCTGCCGCCCCTCCCGGCGCTGCTGCTCGGGCTCGGCCCGGTGCTGCTCGGAGCCGCCGCCGCCTTCAACCTGGACCGCACCTTCCCCGTCCTCAAGGAGGGGGGCCCCGCCGGCGCCTTGTTCGGCTTCTCGGTGGCGCTGCACCGGCAGACGGAGCGGAGGGAGCGCAGCTTGTGAGCGCGGGGAGGGGAAGCCGGTGATGCGGGGAGGGGGGCATGGTGGGGGTGGTTGGGGGTCCCGTGTGGTACGGGAGAGAGGGGAGAGATTTACCTGTGCAGTGAACCCCCCCCATAGGGGGAGGGTCCCCCGTGGGATGGGGGAGAGCGGGATGGGGTCGCCCGGGGCGGTGTGGGGTGGGTGCGATGCCCGCTGGGATCGCGGTGGGGGAAGGCGAGAAGAGGTTTTACCTGTGGGGCGGGGGTCTCCCCGTGAAGTGGGGGAGGGTTCAAGGGTAGAGGTGTCCCCCGTGGATCGAAGGGGTCCCCCGTGGGATGGGATGTGCGCGGTGGTTGAGACCCCCGTGCGCTGGAGAAGAACGAGGAGAGGTTTACTTGTGAGGTTTGTGGGGGGTCCCCCATAGGGGAAGGGTCCCCCGTGGGGTG